ATATAGGAAAAAGCAAGTAACCGATGTTTTTATTAATTACAATATAAAGAGAACGACGATAATCATTGATATCATTCAATTTATATTTTTATATTTCCTGTTACAAATCAATATTATTCTTGTATAAAAATATAATTTCGTAATTATTTATTTACTTATAATTAGTTTTATTCATATTTGAACAAATATTTATTGCTGTCACATATTCATCCATTAATTTATTTAATTGCTCCCAATAAACCTTGATTTCGGGTAATAACCACTTTTAACTAATCATGCTCAATATAAAGTAGCTCTTAACAAATAACAAATCCTATATATCTATAGATAAATATACAAATGATTCGTTATTTGTATAATGAAATAAGTAATAATCTCTAACCTCCTTTACAATACCTTTGTCGCCATATCAAAATGTCAACGAAAATTTACAATGCACGAATGGCATTTAATTATTGATGAATCAATATGTATACTCTTTTATTTCACAAACAATAATTCTAATTGAAGATAAAAGTATATTAATATGGATTAAAATTTTCGATAAAATCTAAATTATTTCATTATTAAATGAAGCTAATTCTTTTCTACGAGATGAAAGTAATTCTAATTTATGAATATATTTTAACTTTAGCAACAATAACAACAACAACAACAACAACAACAACAAAAATATATATATAGACATAATTTACACGTGAAACATCTTAAAAATCTTTAAATGCGATCGCATACTGATAATGAATATTTATGTTGCGCTAATCTAATCTTATATTATGAAAACTTTAATAGAATTGTCAATTTAGGAGAAATATTCAATGAAGTAATTAATACGAAAATATTTAATTTTATCTACATCATAAGCAATTGAATCCTTTAATTACTTTTAAATTGAGGTAAACATAAGTTTATATTTCAGCTTAAAATACTTAAAATATTCGATAAACTTATTAGTAATAAGATAATTATTTTGTTTTGATATAAGTTTGCTTATTAATCACACGTAATTTTGTAAATTTTATTCTATGAAAATGACAATTTTATTGCAACTATTTATCTATTCTAAGTAAAAAAAATTCACCCCTATACGCCCACACATATAAATTTGTAGTTGCAAAGCTTGAAGAACACAATAAATCATTTGTCTACGAATAATATAAAATTTACTGTAAATCAATAGTTGAAAAAAGGAGAAAATCATTTACTAATTTTCGATGAGCATTATTTTTTTTTTTTTTTTGTAACATATTAAGTCTCGTCTCTTTAAAGGTTGTTACGCATTATTGATAAAAAAATCGAAATAATTTCCCATTGTTAAGACTATAACAAATATTATAAAAGATTTTTTTTTTTTTGTTATTTGTGAATTTCCGATTTACTCAGAATATTTATTGTCTTATCTATAATTTTTTATAAATTACAAAAAAGATACACTAAGATAATGCCTTGAATGGATAAGTTAACAAAACATTAACTATTTTATAAAGCTTAAGTAATTTGAAAAGATTTTTTCTTTTTATTATACTAATCATTTTCATTTGCAATCATCATAATGTACATTTGTGAATAGAAAAAAATTTTAGGACTATAAATCGATTACATCTTTTAATAATTCGAAATTCTAGTATAATATTTAGTACGGATATTTTTATACGAATAGATGAGCTCGTAAATTACTAACAAACATACTTAAACTTCATTATATATATATATATATATATTTTATCCTTATCCGTCCAACTATTGACGTTGCTTCAATAGTTTTGGTTTCGTTCTTACCAAATTAAACTTTCTAATAAAATATTTAATCGAAACACAATTTTGCATAAAAGAGTGCCTTATAGGACAAAATTGTCTAAGCTCTTTTATTATTATCTCAAATAACAATACTCTCATTTACTCAGTTTACTTTTACACAAATAAGTTATATAAGACTCATGCATTTTCAATTTTCAATTCAATACTATTATTGTGAATTATTTAAAGCTACTTTGCAACATATTTATCCACGTCAATCATCTATTAAAACTATGACCCAAAAATACGTTATGTGCATTAATATACTAGCGAATAAATACTTTAATGATGATTAATATTAAATTGAATTAGTTGAATTAATAACGTAATTATTATACAGCTACAAAAACTATAAAATTAATTTTTTATAAATCGGGAATGAATTTTGTATAATTAATAGGGCTAAATTGTATTTTTAGCTTAGGATATATAAATATACATCCAGAATATCATATATAATTATGAAATAATAATAAAAAAAGAAATTATATTTATTTTGAAAAATTTTATTTTATACCTTGACTCAAAATTAGATTTAAAAATGCAAGATGTAACAAATATTAAGTTTTGTTATCTTTTTTTTTTTTATAAAATTACGCCAAGTGGTAGCTATTTCTATATTATATGTCATTTAAAGCATTTATCCAATTCGGGAGATATAAAAACAAAATTGTTGCGATTTAAAAAAAAAGTAACAAAATAACAATCTAAGTTTAATAAATTTTTAAGCACATCTAAAAAGTAGAAAAAATTGTTATCGATTGTATACTGAAGCACCACACTGTTGAAATGAGCTGAGCAACAGTAATAGACATTCTATTCAAAATAAACAATTCTGAATTGTCGGGCTGAATTAAGCTCGGAAAAAATAAAAAATTTTTTAATAATGAGATATTTTTATCGATGTTATTTAAAATAGTTAAGAAGATTTCTTATTAAAAAATAAAGATGAACATAAAATTGAGAGTAAAAAATTATTTGCAACCACCAATTTTCTAAAATTCTGAAAAAAAAATTGCAAAAAAAGTGCTTTAATAGCTTAGATTATTACCGAGGACCAACCTGATATTTTCTTCAAACTATATCTTATAAACAACTTTTAATTATATTCTTAAATATTGAGTGTCTTATAGAATACTGGAATTATCGATATAAAAAAAAAAAAAAAAAAAAAAAAAAAAAAATCAATTTCAACGCAAACCGGAAAATACTCCTAATTTTCATTAGGATTTTTAATAATAATATAAATAAAATACATAAATTTATATTTAAACTATAAATTACGTACCATCAACCTTATGAAAAAAGCAAGAAAAAAAGATGATACTCATTCGTTTATTTCTATTTAAGGAAAAATAAAAGTAAAATGTAAAATAAATAGAAGGAATTTTAGTTAAATATTGACATTCTTTCGCCAACTGTATATATAATTTAATAAAATTACTATTTTTTAATTAACAGATTCAAATTTTTTTCTGATAAATGAATAAACAATGGTAATCGAAATATTATTATAATTATCTTTTTGTCAGATGATTTATTATATTATTGGATTATTAAAAAATATTCATTTATATTATAATTAATTATTAAGAATTTCATAATATGTGATGCATAGTCTTTAAGATTTTATAAATAAGAATATTATTTATAATATGTATTATCTGTCAATTAGTGGGATATAGATATATAAATTCACGTAATGCAAAGTAAAATGTGTAGTGAGTTTATTTTAACTCAGTTATGTACCACATAATAAATAATAATCTTTCTTCATTAATCACTTTATAACTGAATTATTTGTTAAAATTGCATATAACATTAATTTCATGATAAAATAATGTATAGTTAAAGATGAAAAAATAAAGAAGTCGTTTATCAATTCAATATTGTTAAATAAAGCATTAATAAATGTAATAAATGTTAGGAAAATTGTGATAAATTGAATTGAATAATTACATAATATGTAGAGATCAATAAATGATGAAAAGCTAAAAACGATAAAAAAAAATTACTACTCGTCGTTCGAAAAACTATTATAACCGTCTTAGGAAAGGTTTGTATTAAATATATTCAAGGGAAAATGTTTTTTATTAATATTTTTTAACGATGAAAAAATTACTTAAAAATATATCTCGACAAATTAAATTTAACATAACAATTGAGATTTAGAAAAATATGAAAATTAATTGAGCATTATTTTTAAAAATTATATGCATATTCAATGTATTATAAATACTTATTTAAAAATAAAACTAAGGAATTAAATAAATTTATTAAAAAAACTTATACGTGTCATCTAAATTTTAATCATACTACGTCATGAGCCGTAGTTACATTACGAAATGTGTTATTAAAATACTTTTCTGAAGCGTACAGCATACAAAAATGATTTGACTTGTACAATTTGAGAAAAATGACTGAAATTCGTATATATTTCTCATTCTACAATAGTCCTTGTTTTTATTTAAAATTTAAAATTAATTGAAATCACTCACCTATATTAAAAAATTAAGATTAAAATCATATAAATAATATTAAAATCTCACAAAAGTATATTTGAGCATTATTAATATTAATATTAAATTATACTAAAATATATTAATAATATAATTGATAATATTAACGACTGAATCATACAAAATATACAAACCAATAAAACCGATTTCTTATAAAAAAAAAAAAATACAATTATTCGTATAAAGCATAAAGCGATGGTAATTTTTTTATCACTTCGTTTTAAAAATAAATCTCTCCTTATTATTAATAATCTCGTTTGCAATTAAATTTGAATTTATGTTTTATTACTTTATCAATTAATTAGCAATATACAAATATACATTGACTAGTATCGCGTGTAGTGCATTATAAAAATGCAATAGATTTTTAATTATTTTTTTTAATACAATTATAACTAAGTTAATCTATCATTTTACTATAAGCAATTATATTTAAGCAACTATATGTGTATTATAAGAAAATACTATGTTCGTAGCGCATTACATCTACTAATATCGAAGCGCTCAGTCTTACCAGTAATTGTAAAATAATTTATGAACAACACATTTGAATGCATTAGATGGAGAAAAATTAGGCATACAATATTTGTAATTATTATAATGTCCTTTCCTTCGTCACTACCCTTTGTTTACATCTTATTTTGCCTCTTTACGTTTTACGTTTTATACAGCGCAACAGTAAAAAACCATTAGTTTGTGTAGAAAATTTATAATCGTTGTACATTGGATGAACGTTGAAAGTGAACCTCCGCCAATAAAAAATAGTTCCTATTGGAAAGCCCTTACAATTTGACCACGTAACTGAACTATAAATTAATAGTTAACTCTATGCATTAAAATGTAGCTTGCAAATTCATTTAGAACGCGAAATTAATTTTCGTTTGCCGTCCATTTGTAACTGCGTACGCATTTTTTTGTAAGCCAATAATGAAACGTATCATCAATATTCATTTGAGATTTAATGTTTTTTAGTAACTAATTATACTATTTGTACAAGATTTTCTACAATATTTATACACCGCTATGATAGGGAAATTTTGAGAGAATATTAATTCATCGACCTAACCTCTCGTGCGATAGACAACAACATTCAATCAAGCTTATAACTTTATAGTAATGTAATGTTGAAAATATGAGATTTTGCGGAAGATTTCTGTGTAATCCTTGCACTTGGCAAGAAGGTGGAGTGAGGCAACTCTCTTTCGATGCTCTCATACCTATATTTACAGTACCAATATTAATGGTAGTTGCCTCACAAAGCTTTACATGCACTGTCATCATATTTCTATTGTCGCCACCACTTATTTATTATTTTTATCGAAATTTTTTACGATTTATCATACGCACAAAATTTTTCCTTATGTGGACTGTAACAAGTGTCCTTACCCTATTACTGGTCTTTGAGTTCAGTGTTGTACCACTTTTGGAAATCTTACCGGAAGAGAATTTGGTTTTTGTTATTTGTGTTGTGGGTGGACTTGTGTGTGGTTATAAGACTAAGCAAAAGGCTTGTCAAGTTACTCAAGAAAATTCTTTATTGCAAGGAGTAGAACTTGGAGAAGGAGATTCAGAAATTTGTAATATATGCAAAAAATGTACGTCTCAAAAAGCGTTTCATTGCAGATTGTGTCAAACATGTATCAACGAAAGGGAATATCATTGTAAATGGTAAATCTTTGCTATATTTATTATTTTCAAATGTTTCATAAATTGTCGATATAAATTTTAATAAAATCATACACTCAAGAATTATATACTGAAGATACGCAGCTATACTATGTAATGCAAAAATAGCATGTCCTATTTTTTACAAAATTTATTATCATTAAAAGTAAATAAGTAACTTAAATGGAATTAAATTAATTTTTTTTCAATAACAATGCACGTTACTAATGCGATTATTAAAAAAAATCTGATGAATTTGACTGGAGTGTTAATCAAAATATCTACACTACATCTTATCTTACATACCAAATTAGAATAGCAATTAGAATATTGTATAACTACAATAAATCAAGCGACTGATTTATATTTTTTTTTATATATTTATATTTTAATGTCAAAACAGTTGTGAGTTACAAACTATCTATTGAAGAAAAGCTGAAAGTATAATTATGTAAGAATTAATCGACTTAATATTGTAAATTTATTCATTTTATTTATCAAATTATAATTATATTAATAAATAATAATGCAAGTAATATTTTCTTCTTATCATTGATTAGAAATTGTAGTATTATATGACTCGTCGTTGTATTAAATAATGTTAAATAATAGTTTTTCTTGTTTATGGTGAAGAGAAATAAATAGAATGTTTTTAATAAAAATTTTCATTGTCTTTGCAGGTTAGACTGTTGCGTAGGTGCCAGTAATTTACGATGGTATCTCACATGCTTACTTTTTTCTGCTGTAGCATTTATCTATGGATCGAATTTAACAATGACCAGTGTGTGTCATCCGTTTATTCTAATTGGTACAATACTTTTACCCGATGATTGTAGTGATGTTTATCATCAATTAGAGTGAGTTTTCTTTATTTATATAATTGCAAAATGTTATTTATAAAGTTATCAAATTCATAATCTTGATGTAATTATTTTTGTCTTTTAGTATTGCAATTTGTTTCGTATCATCCATTTATAGTCTACTCATAGGCTTAGTTATTACTTTTTATTTAATATATCATTTTTGGTTGCTGTATCTTGGAAAAACAGCTAATGAAAGGCATCTGCTTAACAATGAAAATGAGAATAATGAAGGAGTATTAAGAAATGCAACGAAATTATTTTGTTGCAAATTGTGAATACGAACAAATACTAAAAAGCTAAGATATATATATATATATATATATATATATATATATGTATATGTATATGTATGTATATGCCAAAGACTAAATAAAAATTGAATCTATTTAGAACAATACTTAATTATGCTAATTTTAAGAAACGAATCGTTATGAATTAAGAATAACACAATAAAGCTTATTAATAAGGAAAAATTACGTACTAATTATTGTAAAGCAACAAAACTAAACCTTGGTTTCATTATTTGTTTTTTTTTTCTTTATAATGTGCATGCACGTACTGTAATTATAACTGTGATACATATAATATGGTAATATCAAAATTATAAAATGATAAGCTGTTATTAGCTGATAAAAGCGGTTAATAATATGTTAGTAAAGGATGATAGAAATGGCTGTTACTTCAACAACAACAAGTAGCCTACGATTTATAAAAATAGATATATGTGTTAATACACATGTATTGTATCAATATTCTAAATACAAGCGTTTCAGTAATAATAAAATATATTTAAAAAATTTTATCTTTCTATTTTAAACTTTTTTTAATTATACTGTAGACCTTGAATATTCTAAAAGTGTAATGAAATATTTCTTTGTTTAGGCGATTGAGGAATAAATTTTTTTATCAATTTTCTCCATTCGTCCCTCCTTTTTTCTCTATCCTCTATATCAACAGCTATCAGCATATACTTTTTCCATATATTAAAACAAATTCTTTTTAAATACCTCACATAATGCTTAACAGCTTGTACTTCTTTTTCGTGTATTACAATATTTATATTCGCGTATAATAAATACCAGGCTTTTATGCACTTTGTTTGTAACTTCATATCATAGAAATCTAAAGCAACTTGATATTTTTGTTTCGTATCTAAAGCTAACGATCGCCAATTGCCAAAAACATCCCACAATAAATTATGCCGATAAAACATTTTAGCCAATTGTAATTTATCATTTTGTTGATCAATCCATTCGTTTTTCCAAGCAGTTAAGACTTTTGCCAGCAATGTAACTTCATAGTGTCGATAAGCCCATTTTAAACGCTGCTTTTGCTCTTCAATCACAATATTCAAAGGCTTCACAATGTATCTTTTAAATAAATACTTTTTATAAAATTGATCCGCAAGGAATTCCAATCTTTTGTTTTTCTGGATCCCTTTTAAGCGATGATCTTCTTTTTCTTTCCGAATTCTCTTAGCTTCCTTTAATGCCTTTTATCAAATAAATAATTGAAATGTGAGATAAAGGTGGATCGCACTATCCATTCCGCCACGCAATTAAATTAATTCTCGATACTTTTCTTAATAGTACTTACTTGAATCTGCTCTTGTCTTTGTCTTTCTTCGGCTACTTGTCGACTAATTTCTTCTCTCCTCTTCTGTTCTTCTCGCTTGCGCTCACGAATTTCACTAGCTAGTTTTATCCGCTGCTTCCTTGCTTCGGTACGCTCTGCCATTCTGATAAAAAATCTCGGTGGACTGGGAATTTCCGGTACCCCAATTATAGATTTATCCCTTAAGAAAAATCCCTCTTAGATTTATAATAATTAGAATAAAATATTTGAAATAATCCCGAGGTCAATGCAATCTACGGTGCGTTTGTTGTACTTAAATGTTACAACAATTTTAGTCTAAAGTTTAGTAAATTTGTGGTTCGTATCGCTGTATATTAACAGATATTTTCAACTATAATACATAAATATAATTTGTCGAATATTACGCTCGACTTTTCACACAAAAAAACAGTATTTACTAAAATTTAAACTTACAATTTTCAGGTCTATTTTTTAATTCGTATTTAAATATGAGAATGAGGATAATAAACCTGCATCCTTGTTCTTTCATTAAATGAATCAGACTCCTTTTAGTTTTCTGATCACAATGATTCAACACTTGTTTGGCAACATTGATATTTTGCACGGTAGTTTGTTTCGCTGCCTTCTTGATTTCAAGTAGTTTCATCTCTTCGATAAATTTAGTCTGCTTCGCTAATTTTGCCCTTTGTTCTTCGATAATCAGTTTTTGCGCTTTGAGTCTATTGTGCATTGGTGTTTTATGGATCTCTTCACTTTTAACATCTCTACCGATTGCGCGTTTTTGCTTGCTTTCCTGGGTATTTTTTAATTGTTGCGGAGCACTTTTTATCTCTGTTTTATGCTTATGATTTTTCGCTTTTTCCTGATCTACGTCACGTTTCTTTTGACTTTCCGCCAATGCATTAACAAGCATGTCGATTCTGCTTTCGTTTGAAATTTTCTTTTCGTTTTTTGTGTATTCGATAACCTTCTGCTTCGTCGTAAAATAATTATACCAATTGTCAAAGTAATGGCGAAGTCTTCTTTTTGATATTCTCTCATTGATTCGAGTCCCTACTTCTCGTATCTTTCGTTCCTGCGCTGAATATTGTTTTAATGCTTTCAAAACTATTTTTAAGCTTTCCTCGCTCTTTGGATCATACAATGTTGGCTTATCCTTAATCGAAACTTTAATTATATCTACATTAAACGGCTCGATAACATTTGGAATCATTTTACCGTTATCAAGATTTTTAATAGCCGATACTTTAACAACACTTATTATTTAATATAATTTAAGCACTTATTACTTAATATAAATTTCTTATTATACATTCGTATATTCGTATAAATTTAATTTAATTTCCAGGTATTTTTAATACTGGATATATAAATTGCTCAATGTTTGCATTGAATAACTCAGATTTTTTTTTTTAACAAAATCTCTATTGAAAGTTAATAATTAAAACTATCTCTGTTTATTATTAAACAATATCGAGTTTAAAGAAATAGACGAATAAGGCTTTAGAATAATAGGCTTTAGAATTTTTCATTTACGACAATTTATATTGTTAAGATACAAACATTATCTATCAGGCACTATTAACCGAATAACACACCCAAACAATCAACTTAAATTTATGCTTCTAATTTATATTTTCTACTTAATAAACTAAAAAAACTATTTAAAACAAATTTATAAGGTTAAAAGAAATAAATAATTTTTCTGATAAAAAAAACTTGTTGGTACAACTATGTTGGTTGCTACGTAAACTTAATAAAGATACACCATAAGTTTATTGTGGTTACCATGACTTTATAACGTATATTTTGCTTCATTTTCTTTATAGATAAAATAGTAAATAAAAATAAATAAAACGTATATTTTGCTTCATTTTCTTTATAGATAAAATAGTAAATAAAAATAAATAAAACGTATATTTTGCTTCACTTTCTTTATAGATAAAATAATATTTGTATTTCCAGATCGGTAAAATTTATGTACATTACAACAAAAAAAAAAAAAAAAAAAAAAAAAAAAAAAAAATTTGAGTGATTTAAAAACAAATCTGCACAATGAATTACTTTATTATAAAATTAAAAATACGCTTTTCATGTACACGTAATACATATCGATTTAATTGAAATCAAATAGATTCAAATATATAAACAAATTAAAATATTAAAATACATATAATATAGACGTATAGTTATTACAATGATTATAATCAATGAAGAATTTGTTAAAAGAAATTTTACAAAGAAATCAGATTTAATCGATGAATCATATTTTTTCATAATTTTTCATAAATAAATAAACAATAAATTCTCATTTAATATCAATTTGAAACATTCTTAAATAAGCCTGTCTATTGTCTATTTGAAATTATAAATAATTATTAAGAAATTCCTAATGATAAATCCAAGTATTTTATTAATAATCCGTAAAATAAACTTCTATAGAAATTAATATGTAGGCATATATTTATGGTAGGAAAAAAATATTAAAATTTTGAAAATCCAAATGTCATCAGATGAGAATATCGGCAGAAAGATCGCTACAATAGAAGCCAATGGAATTTGGAAATATGAAAAGTTTTGTCAAGCTTTATTATTTAAATAGAATTATTTTCCATTCAAAAATCCCAACTGATAACTAAAAGAGCTTAATAATATAAATAAAATTATTTTAATTTGTAATCTCATTCGCAACAAATGAAGTATAAATATTTTTGCAATATTAACAAAATATTAAACAATAGTTGATTGTTATTATATTATATATGTGAGGATTAATGTTTTTCAGCACTCTGAAATATTTGCATTTTATTATATAGACTATAATTATTCAAAGTTGGAGAACAATAAAATATGCAATTAATGGAATTTAATCAAAATTTCGAGCAGTTGAATGATACAAATTCGCCACAGAATATTAGTCACTCAAAATTATTTAGATAGTATAATCAATAAATAGTAAGAGGACGCTAATCTATATGTACATTCAATTTCCCGCCACAATTGCAATTTTTACGTTTACTAATTGATACACGCACTTGTAGCCGTCTATCAGCAATTAGAATTTCTATAAATAGATTTCTATAAATTGACGGACGCTTAGCGGGTAATCTCAAAATGTTGAAAATTCAAGATATAATAATGGCCTTAATGAAATATACCCTTAAAATATTTCAAATTTCAGATTCAGTTAAAAAAAAACACAGATTTTTATATTATCCGTTATAAATCAAGATTCTTTCTATTTTAGGAAATTAATGTCAAATATAGATGAAAATTATGAATTTAATAAACAATAGCGAGCTTAGTATATATTAAGTCCTTCCTAATAATCGATTTGAGTTAAGTATTCGAAATGGATTTTTTAGCCATTAAATGAAATTCTTCTTTTCCAGATCTGTACAAGACATTAATTAATGACTCATGGTAAATCACAAGTCGTATTATAATTTTATAACTATTACCTAAATATGAAATACTTAACTTGAACTTTAAAAAATTCAAGTAAATAAATTTTGGTTAACTATTTAAGATTTATGATTAGTTAAAATTATACTATAAAAATTAATTCTACTTTTTAAATAATAAACAAAATTATGTTGAAAAACAATGAGAATGATTTTCCATAAACTTCAATGAATTTTAATGAGAATATGTAATAATATTTAGTGTTTAATCAATAATTAAAATTAAAGTGTCGATAAAAGAAATATTTTACTCGTTTGTCATAAAATAAAAACTAATTCACATTCTATGAATACACGATATATATATATATATATATATATATGTGTGTGTGTGTGTGTGTGTGTGTGTGCGCGCGCGCGTGTGTGTTTAAAATAGTGAGCGAGTGAAATAAAACTGCCTGTCTCATTTGAAAAGTTAATGTATCAGTCGAACGACATTCTTAATCAATAATTTCACATATCAATACAGGTGGTGCTACAGTACTGTAAATTTGATTTTTTTTTTTCATTTATTCATTTCATAATGGAGTTTTCGATGAAGACATCCGCAGTCCCCCCCCCTCCTCCTCCTCTCCATGACATCCAATATCCCGGCCTATTCGCGATGTAAATGGTAAACAAACAGTAGAGTCGCAACAGTTTCATACACCTGCGGCCCCGTGGTCGATGAGACTTGCATGACGTACGCTCGGTCAGACATAGGACAATGAGTAAAATAGACAGTAAAGCTCCTTTTAAGTACGAAAGACACGATAATGCGGAGGCACGCCGTGCAAACACGCTATGCAAATTTCATCAAAGCACACGTGCTGTTATTCGGACACTACGTGACTAAACGATGATGACACTCCCGGGGGTAGAAGCACGCTCTGTCTCGCACGTAATACGTTATCTGCATTAACTTTAATAACTATAAGTCTATTTTGCGAAATGGCGTTGTAATTCGACATTACATTTTGAAATAAGCTTTCGGTCGTTTAATCCCAATTAGAGGTATACTAATTGTTATTTTTAATCATTGATAAGCTCATCACTTGATAAATTTGCATGAGCATTTGTGGTAAACTCGGGTATGATCACGTCGATTTAACTTAGAGTTTTAGAGTTTTTTCGAATACCTCCAGCGTAAGCAATCCGATTCTATTACCTCTAGGTACTTTGGTTGTTATTTTACTTCTGTTTTTTTCTCTACATTTATTTATTTATTATTTATTTATTTTTTTATTTAATTTTAACTATTATTATTATTATTGTTATAAAATAATAAAAAAATTATCGAATCCGGGCTTTTTATTTATCTTTGCTTTTCTTCAAATCATCGATTACCCAGTAACCAGCAAAAAAAAAAAAAGATAGATAATCTAACCTTTAAAACTTACGTGTATGTAGATACATACATAGACATACATGATAAACAGTTTCTTTTTATTTTTTTTTTTTTTTTTTTTTTTTTAGTAAGAGCCATTAGAAGAAAATAACAATACCATTGGTTATTTGGAAGAGAATAAATGCGAAATATCAACAAATAGATAAAGTTTGTCGTGAATCAAACGGAAAGGTAAAGCATATTTACAGTATTAAATTAATCATCCATGAAGAAGAATACTTACCAAAATTTTCTTGCTTGAAAATTAGTAAAAAAAAAAAAAAATTCCTTGGCACTCGGAAGGGGAGGGGTAGGGAGAAGTAGTAATTTTTTCGCACTTACTCCCAATTACGAAATTAAGAAATTACGAAATTACGAAATTACGATTGTTCTTTATTACTAGGCAATTTATGTAGTTGTATTTACGCGTATAAGCAATCTCACTTACCGTTCTCACAACCTAGTCCACACTATATTGTATTTACGTTTGAACGTGCACGGCTTGGCTTGCACGCGCACGCGCACATATATAGATATATATATATATATATATATATATATATATATATTAAATAAAATGTGTTTCCGCAATCATGTACCTGCTTGATGCTGTGTGAGTGTTTTGCTTCTGCATGCACTCTCCGCAGTTCATCTATAGCATTGATACATAAGCTAGACTGGTATCAACGATATTTTATATCACAATTTTATTCTTCTACTTGCTTACTACTGTTGCTCAAACGCACTTCTTACTGTCTGTAATAGGTAATTATTCTCCATTTATTTTCAGTATTTTTATGCGTGAACACGAGCACTACTAACGCTACCGAGAATTTGAAGCGAAATTTCTCACCCTTTCACGAATATAATTTGTAAGTTACCTTTCTAATATGTGTTCCGTCCACATGCATTACGCATGCATCTTTACATACATACGTATGTATATGCACATATAATATACATATATATATATATATATATACGTAAGTGTGTACGCGCTCGCGCGCGCAAACATATATGTATATATATATAGATATATTTTTTTTTTTTTTTTTTTTTTTTTTTATATTAATTAACTAACCTAAATTACTGTGGCAAATGCAAATGTTTTATCAAATATTTAAAAAAAATTCTCCCTTCTAGACCATGCGAGCTTGGATGTTTCATTATTGTAGTCTATAATTAATACGTAAGAAAATATTTAGAAGATAATATAATGTCAGATTCATCTGAAAACAAAGAACAGAGTGATAGAGAGAAAAATGTTAATGATGAATATTTGGAACAAATATCATTGGCTAATGGTAGTAAAACAGATCCATTAATTAAAGATGAAATAGCATCTTTAGCGTTAAATACTACATTGAATGAGACCAAAGACCAAGATAAAGACAATAAGATTGAAATTGTAGAAGAATCGACTAGCATTGAAGAGAAAAAAGTAAATTCGACAGAAAATGTTGCCAAAAGATCTAAATCCACCGGTATGTCATGCCTAACAAATAGTTTTTAATTATTACTTTTATTATTAATCATTTGTATTGTTTATTTTGTTTTAGATCGAGCAGAGAGTAGTACCTTATGTAAATCTGATATCGATTGGGATCACGATACTAACAAAAGGCAAAAATTAAATGACTGTCAACCAAATACTTCAACAAGCGATAGTAATATTCGGGAAAGCAGTAATGAGCAAAAATCTAATTTTCGCAAACTCGAATCTAAATTCAAAAAACGTAATTATCGTAATCAAAGCAATTCTAGTGATATAGATGATTTAAATGACAATACAAGATCAAATCCTAGCATACGAGAAAAGTCCAGTTCTTCAGAATCCATTCAACAAGATACGAAAGACAGTTCCGACGAACGAAGCGAAATCGCCGAAGGTACTACGTTTCCTTCATAATCATATACTTCAAATAACCAAGCATTTTTAATTTATTCAATTTTACTAAATTTCTAATTGTATATAAAAATTATAAAAAACATATCGGTGGTATAATAATTAAAGTAGGCATTTGCCTTGTATAGTTATAAGACATTTTAAGTTATAATTTAAATTCAAATTATTTTTCTAAGATTTAAGCGCTTTCAATTGTCATATTTGAATTAGGAATTAATTATTATTATCAGTCGGAAGAAAAGTTTAGAAAAATCTAATATTTCTCTAATTACAGTAAGTGTATTTAAAAGATTTTTAATAAATTTGTATGCAATAAACAGATAATGCTGAATCAAACGAATGGACAACAGCTAGTGATGATACAGATGAAATGCCAGGTATTTTACAAAAAAAGCCAACAAAATCTGACTGGTCTATCTTAAAAGACGTGATTAATCGTCAAATCGGATCAAATAACTCAATTCCATTACGATTTTATAGTTCACTTCTTGCAGTTCAACGTTTAGAACTTATGTACAAACTCGAAGAACATAATGTAATTTTTTAATTGTTTATCGTTTATACATTAAATTTTACATTTTACATTTGTCTGAAATATTACAAAGATTTAATTATGTAAATTTACAAATTTAATATCAATTTATATTATGTATCAAATAATTATAATGTTTTTATAACATTTTAGGGCTGTGTTAATGCTATAGGTTTTAATCAAAAAGGAAATCTTCTTGCAAGTGCCTCGGATGATTTAACAATTACAATTTGGGATTGGGCTATTGGAAAAAAGCATATAGCACTGCAAACTGGTCATAGAAGTAATGTTTTTCAATCTAAATGGTTACCTCTTGATATGGAATATTTTGTAGTATCGTGTGCTCGTGATGGTCAAGTGCGCTTAATCGATATTCGAACCAGTGTCAGTCGAAAATTAGCTAAACATCGGGCAGCCTGTCATAAAATTAGTACCCATTTAGATTTACCTCATTTAGTACTCTCCGCTGGTGAAGATTCTAAGATCTTATCAATTGACATAAGAGAAAGTAAACCATCAATGTAAAGATGAGATTTTGTTGTTTCATTGATTGAGTAAATTTAATAATGGAGATATCGTTTAATCTATTTTTTATGAAAAAAACTTGTATTTCTAGATTACAATCGGTCAAAGATAATGATCAAGAGGTTGAACTTTACAGTATTCACTCAAATCCTTTAAATAATTTTGAGTTTTGCGTCGCTGGTCGAACGCGTTTTGTTAAAATATATGATCGTAGAAAACCTACAATTCCTTTGCAACAATTGTGTCCAAAACATTTAGTAAGTAGTACTTAATTATAAACTCTTTCTCTCTCTCTCTCTCTATATATATATGAATCAGAAAAGAAAAGATGTAGTAGTTTGTAAATAATTATTTGTATATATTTTTAATCAAGTTGTCAGAAGATCAAGCGCATGTGACGTGTGCTGTTTACAATCATAATGGAACTGAAATTGTAGCTTCTTATAACAATGAAGACATATACTTATTCGATACCGCAATACCATATCAAAGTGGAGATTTTGCTCACAAATATCAAGGACATCGAAATAGTGTTACTGGTAATATTGATTATTTGACATATTATTTAACAAAGTCATTAATAATACAATAAGTTTCATTAAAATTGTACTAAAATTTTAATCAATTTCATATATTAGTGTAGGTTAAGCATTTTTTTCATTTTATAGTTAAGGGTGTTAATTTCTATGGACCAAATAGTGAATTTGTGATATCTGGATCAGATTGTGGAAATATATTTATTTGGGATAAAAAGACAGAAGCGATAGTTCAGTGGATGCTTGGAGATCGACAAGGAATTGTACAGTGTCATTAACATTTATTTAACACGTGACGAATTTTAATAAGTAATTTAACAATATTTTGTTTAGGTAAATGCTTTAGAGCCTCATCCTCATATTCCAATTTTGGCAACAAGTGGTCTTGACTCTGATGTAAAAATATGGGTACCAACTCGAGAAGAACCACCTAATATTGAACAACAATTACAGTCCGTAAGTGTTCATTAAATTTTCTTTATTTATACAGTGTTTAAAAACTATTGATATTGAAGTTCTATTGGTTAGTGTGTTAAGCAGAATCTAACGCCTAGAACTAAGAATATTGAAGATGCAGAAAATGCTTTCGATGGGCATTTCTTGTGGATAATGTTACGGCATATTCGCCAAGCTGATCGACATAGGGTAAAATACTAATTTCATTATTTTTTATAATCAATGTACTAACCCTTATTAAGGGCTCATTCTACTGTGGCAGGTTGGAATTATGAACAAATTTTGTGCAATATTTGAAAATGTTTGTCTCTAGAAATGTACTCGTAAATTTTCAAGATCAAATACAATATGGCTTGGTTGTTAATAATTATCATTGAAATGATATTTAAACTTGAACGGTGTTAAAAAAACTTGAAATGCATTTTTCTCAAATCGATTTTATCACCTGCAGGCTGATTTTGAAAACATTACTTTAATCGAAACAATCCGAAACTCTATATTTGGTTTAATTATCATAGAAGATAAAATCAACCTTCTAAGTTATAAATTATTATATTTTTAGATTAAAAAATATGAAGATCAATGAAATTTGATAAATTTTATTTGAACTTATGCTATTTTATTATTGTGTTTTTTTTTTTTTTTTTTTTTTTTTATTAATTGGCTATGGCTTTTGAAATAGCAAAATTAATGTCAATGAATAATATTATTATATTTTCTCTTTATATGCATGCATTTTTCCAACATCATGTCTACACCGAAGAACAATTTTGTTAAGAAAGTTAAGTTTTATGAACTTGTTACATAAGCTAAAAGTACTTAAATTTAATATAAGAAAATATTTTTGTATCTCTTAAATGTTGAAAAATAAATTAAAAAGAACAATGTTCTTAAGCTATTTGTTATTGAATTATGCTTTATTTGTAAAACATAAAAAACAAAAACAAAAACAAAAACAAAACATAAAAATCTATCGTTTTATAATGCGTCACAGTGGAATGGACTCTTAAATTCCTAAAATTATAAACAGTTGCTGCCCATAAATCTAACTTATTGATAGACATTTATTATATAAAGTTGACCACTTGATATTATAAAAATTCCCTTTGCAAGAATTGCCATCTGATCATCGATGGTCGGACCTGGTTTGGACAGGTGAGTTAGGTAGGCACGCATTACGATGTAGCAAAATCTTACTAAATACAGACCCCAATACATTGAAAATAGTCTTTAATGTGCGAGTATACAGTATCATTGTAAAAATAGCAAGGCCAATAAGATGCAAAATTTAATAAGAAAATTCAAAGACAAAGATGTCTTCCATATTTGCAAAACAAGATTAGGCCTTTCCGAGAATATACCGCCCTGAAATTGTTCAATAATTTCAAAAGATGTATTACTCTACGTGTTCATGTAATTTAGCAATCCTTCTGAAAATGATATTGGTTTTGCTTGGAACGGATGAGCCGGCAGGTAGATGGCTGCTAAAAATATGATTGTAACACCTAGTGAAATCTAAAGGGATAGTAGCGGTAAAACAATATCGAAAAGCAAGAAAGAGCAAAGCGAGCAAATAGAACTCTACGTAGGCTTGGACGTCACCTAATCGAGATTAGTGAGAAGCATCGATGAGAATGCAAATTCACTTAGGATGTGGAAAGTCTTGTTTGTAACGTTAAGTTTAATTTAATTGGATTGTTTATTTGGGCACCCACTACCCATGCCACCTACTACCCTGTTCAACCACCCCCTTAGCATTTACCAAGCCGTTAAATTGCAATTAAATTGTACGTTCTCAGATCCTTTCAATTTCTTTATTAAAGCATTTGCAATTATATTAAAATTCAAAAATTGAATCGAGATTTATTTAATATGGTACAATTTTTGGTGTTGTAATTGTATATTATACTGTGAAAAAGTTATGGCATTAATTCTTTCATTTTTAAATTAATTTGTTTAGCAACTTCTTGTAAGAATAGACAATAGAAACCAAAACCATGATTTCGATGATGATAGTGATATTGATATTGGCAATGATGAAGACGTTGGAGATTTTAATGAAAATAATGATGATGATGATGATAATGATGATTATGATGATGATGATGATGATGATGATGATGATGATAGTTCTTCCAATTCAAATGATAATTCTAGTGAAAGTGATGATCACTTTGAAAATTAAGATATTCGATAATGTTGATAATATATATAATCATGATTTTTTAAGTTACAATAAATACACGTTTATAAATCAATACTATTGTAAATTGTTACTGATACACTTTGAAAAGATAAACATTTATTTAATTAAAAAAATATTAAATAACTATAAAATATCATTCTTTAACAATGTAATACTTCATACAATTATTTATTTGTAATGCAAATTAGTAATGCTTTGGTTGTTTAAGGACAATCATTAAAAACTCTTGTAAATAAAATTAAATTTACTATGGTACTTAAATAATTTATTTTCATTTTTCAAATAAAGCTGTACTCCAGCAATTTATAAAGACTGAGTTACTAATAATATACATAAAATAGGAATGTTAAGCTTAACCAAATATGAAGTTATAAAATTTAACATGTAATTATAAAAAAGAAAAAGAAAAAAAATGTATAATTTAATAAAAAGTTGTTTCACAAAATAATATACCACAATATGTTTTATTTTGAATCAACTGTTTTATAGAAAATAAGTTTAACAAGCTAAAATATAAATATCAATAAAAAAAAAAAAATAAATAATTAACAACTTTTATTAAATACATATAATGAAGATTATCGAGAACAAATAAATATTATTTCAAAAACAGAATGTACATACAATATGTATATTTCGATAATCGGTACATTTTATTACGTATTAATTAAAAGTATACAATACGATTTTTATTTCACTAGAAACTGCATTTTGTTTAAATTTTCTTCTCATTCGGCCTAATTTAAAATTATTTATATTTACATTGAAAATTATGAAGAATTTCAAAAAATTCCAATAGTATAAGCAAGAGCAGCGTATATGTGTAAAGTTAATGTTCCCATTATTGTTGCAGCAATAGCTTTAATAAATAATGCCGACCAAGGTCCAATCGTAAATGACATTATTAGAAAATCCGAAATAAGTGGCCTATATACTGTAAGCAACAGCATACTAACAACAACAGGTACTAGACTTTGCTTTAAATCATGTCTCGACCAAAGCCAAACTAACGTTGCCGTCGTAATATGTTGAACCTAAAAAATCACTCAAAATGAATATACTTGCTTTAATGATATTAATAACTTTGTAAATAAAATATTAATTTATACACATACTAGATATATATTAGATTCCAAACTCTTCTGCATATACTTCCAATCGAACTCTGCGCCTCTAGCCCCAATCCATAACAATAAAAATCTCGTTAGAACAACCTCAGCCCCGGCCCATCCTATTCCCGCAGTCAAAACTTTTGCATGACCTTTGCCTGGTATACCGTTCAAAACTATGTATATCCCAATCAGATCGGCAATGTCGATAGTAGATTTAAAAAATTCCTAGAAATATTAGAAATAAATCATGAAATTGAAAATCTTAACTTAAAGTTGGTTTTATTCAATACGTACACCAAAAATGTCAAAGCCCTTATATCCTATATTATCCGCAGTGGGGAAAAAAGTAGCTAAAATAAGCATCTTAACAAGTTGGGTAAAAATATAAATCCCTCCAGCCTGAATACATTTCCAAAAAGCGCCATACTCGGAGCTAAGTAAAAATTAAATTTAAATTTATTATAAATAAATGTTCCTTGCAATATAAAACAATTATTATATTTTTGGAAAATAATACTTACAGTCCCGAGTATTTGTAGGTTAAGTAGTAAGGTACATAAACTAACGCTAAACAATTTCCAAAATGATACAGTGTCATATCTATTTTATTCAACGCTACCTTTTGATCATAACCATGAAAGTAATTTTAAATTACTAATAATTAGCAATAAACTAATCTAAATTACATTGTTTAGTGACTAAAATTAAATAAATAGTTTAAATTTGAGGAGTACGATAGTCCCAGCTCATACAAGTCTCCTTCGCAACAATTTCACTGCCGATTATCATGTGATTGTTGGTATCGCAGGCAGGCCATTGCTCGATTTATAAAGTTCACTTTAAAACTCTATTTTGATATTGTGAAGAAGCTTAATTCGTAATCTTTAAGTCGAGTCGACAGACTTGGCAATTCAAGATAAATTTTTTGTTAATTAAGTGTCCTGAACATTTATGACAAATACCTAATAAACCGTGTTGAAGACATTCTTATTTGAATTGTATTTACTTTCTTTTCATTCTTTCGCACTGTATAATCATATAATTATTAAATTATTAAAATATCATGACCAAGAACAAACGTTTATTAAACCTATATAAATTAGATATTACAATTATTTCAAATGATAGTTATAATTCAGCTGTAAATATCCTTAAGAGTTGAATATATCCAAACAATAGTCCATCATTAACAATAATAAATTTAATATCGTTTGTTAAAGAGAAAAATTTCATTGCAAGCTCATTGCATATTCATTAATGTATATGATATTTTTTAATATTTGGACAAACGTGATAAATTACTTTCAAAATTTGGATGGCATCGACCGTGAATGCTCGAATAATGCTCGGTTATTTGATCAACGGCACTTTAAATCATTAAAATACATTTATTCCATTCCAATCAGAGTTATCCAAAATATTTAATTAATTTAACGTGAATAATAATGACATTCGTTCGATGTCATATACATTGTAATTACAGTTGCGTGTGCATTCAACTGCAAGAAGCTTAATTTTATTTAACTTTATTTTATATTTATTTCTGATATATATATATATTTCAATGTATAGTCTTTACTCAATTAAATAGCCAAATTCGAATTTACTAACTTAAATTCCTGTATATATATATATATATATATGTAACAATTGACGTTATTTTAAATAAAATATTGACATTATTTACTTACATTTGAATTTGTATTCATAAACCAAATGTACATTTAATTAATTTTATAGACTTATATTGATTTATATTTGTTTACGGATATATGGAAATGTAACAAATTATATGCATTTGAAACATTAAGTCATATTTATCGAAATGATATAGACTATTATTTATTGCTGTTGTATAACTTATTAATATATTATATATGAACATAACATTTATTTTCTCGATTTTTAAATAATGTAATTTGTTCACTTATGTCCAACATTTTATTCACGCATATTCTTTAATGTACTTATATGTATATATAACTAAAGTTCAAAATAAATTATTATTTTAAACCTAGTCGGATAAAAATTTTGGTACAAATAAATTACTATGATATTTTTAAATGATTTTTCAGTTCATTTTAAAATTGTAATCGACACATTAAAAATAAATTAATTAAGATTTTTCAACATAACATTTTTTTTAATAATGCCTTATATTACTTATTAGACCACTGAACGATTCTATTTATAAATTAAAATTTTTTTGTTATTTTAATTAATTATATTACGAAGTTTACGTATTATAATTGAATTATTTTTATAATTTGAAATATTAGTAATAAAAGTTTTATGGCAGACGGTAAAATTTACTGAGCCATAAGAAGATTTGCAAAAAAATATAATACGTTTTAAACAATGTAATCTAAACGCTACTCGACAATTATTAACATTACATTAATCAATCGATTTCCATTGATGGCTAAGTAAATTAGCCATTTTTACGAAATTTTATATTTTTAATAAAATTAGAGATAAAATTAACTGCAAAAATAATGAAATATCCAAAATTCTCGTTTTTAAAGCTAAGAGGTAAGAGAAAATATATTAAAACTACTAAATATATATTTTCTTAACCATACAGTAAATGAAAAAAAAAACACAAATATATTTTGCGAGAAATATCATGAAATAGCGAATAAATTTAATAATATTGTAATCGTATTAATGAAGCAAGTCCTATAAAAGTTATATAAAATACTAAATTAATTTAATTTTATCTAAAAAAAATATAAAATAATATAAAAAGAAACTGTTATACAATTGTTAATTTGAATTAATAGAATGCGTAATGGGTACATAATTTCAGACTACAGAAAATTATATAAATTTTAAATTAAAAATCATCGACATTTTAACTCAATGAAACTTGTGCTTCTTTTCAACAGTATTTGAGGCAATTCGAGAGAATCAATATTTTTTTGTAAAGAAATCTAGGTATTTAAGAAAAAACTGGCTAGACAATTTTTTAAACTTATAAAATATATCAGTTTTTTAATGTTTCGCTAACTTTTTTATGATAAATAAAAAATAAACTCTCGACTTAGCTATTTCACCTGAAAATTCCACACAAATTTATAAGATAATGTATCATTTGAAATGCTAAATAATTTAAAATTTCAATAATTTATAGAATTAATGAAATTACAAATTTATAGAAAATGTTTGTTATATATATATATATATATATATATATATATATATATTGGCTTGTATATACTGCAAAAAATATTAAATACACGGAATTTCTCGAGTACTTTTAAAAATATTCACATCCACGTTCCAAGATTTAACCGCTAGGGGGAGGGGAGAGACTCCAGAGAATCAGATAAATTTTTTAAACGAAAGAATCTATAATAACCAAATTACAATGTGTAATAATTAGAGATAATTATTTATTTATAAAAGTCTTTGAATTAAGAAATTGATATGAGTGAATCGGATGATGACATACCACGATTAAATTCAGCAACATTGGCTGCTTTAAATGAATTTTACCAGGAAAAAGAAGAACGTGAGAATAAACTAAAGCATGCTATTGAACAAAGTGAAAATAAAAATTGTGACATAATTTTTGAAGAAGATTGGGTAGGTTGTAAGCTAATAAAAGAATATATATATAAAATTTATGTTGATTATATTACTTTATACGGACATTTTGTAGCAATTAAGCCAATTTTGGTATGATGAAAAGACAATTTTGTCTTTGACACGAGGTGCTGTTAAATCCACTCTCAATGATGGAAAAATTGCTTTAATTTCATGTCCGACATTATACAAGCGTTTAAGTAATATATCTGAAGGAAGGCAAGGTATTTAGTATTTTTTATAATATGTGTTAACTCTTTTAATTTGTTACAAATAAATTGATTTAATTTATACTCTTTTTTTTACAGTGAAGCTGTTCGAATTTGACAAACGCTTTTCTGTATTTGGTTCTGATTTTATATTATATGATTATAATTTACCCCAAAATATTCCAAACGATTTAATTGGATTCTTTGATCTTGTAATTTGTGATCCGCCGTTTCTTTCAGAAGAATGCTTAACAAAAGTAGCAGTAACTGTCAAGCTTTTGGCAAAAAATAATATTGTTCTATGTACAGGTTTATATTTAAAAACTTTTTACAATAATACACGCGCGCGCGCGCGCGCTCGTGTGTGTGTGTGTGTATGAGAGTGTGTGTGTGTGTGTATACACATATATTATTTATAATATTTTAAATCAATTTAATGAAATTATAGTATAGTGAAAGATGTATAAAGTTAATTTCAAAACACTGATAAATTGTAATCAATGCCTTAAAATTACAAAAATGATGTTTTTCAATTAAAGTTTGATCTACACTCATAATATTATATATAATATCTTTACGTAACGTATTTAATGCATGATAATATCTGAAACTTCAATTTTTCACATTAAATCCTACTTTACTACTATTTCAGGTGCTGTAATGAATGACATGGCAGGAAAACTATTGAATGTTAAAAAATGTAATTACGCTCCTCATCACAAAAATAATTTAGCAAACGAATTTTGTTGTTATTCAAATTTTTGTTTCGATAAATATTTAACATAACTAGTTTAATTAATTTTATTAAACATAATAGTTTTTATTATTTATATGTAAATACAAATTTTATATTTCTTAAAGAATATATAAAGCAATAATTTAAATCAAAGAAAGTTTTCAAAGAAAGGTATACTATTATCCATCGTATATAAATATTATAAATGAAATTTAATATTATTAAAACTAATTCATGAAAATTAAGATAGGTGATAATATTTAAATAATTTTACAAGAAAAATAGATTTTTAAAAAATTGATTAAATAGACTGTATGTATATATATATATATAGTTTTTTATATTATATTGTAATACATATTTTTTTATTTTACATAAATGTAATCCATCTCTTGTAGTATTAAAAACCTTGGTCCCCTAAAGAAATGATAATATTGTATATAGATTATATAATTAAAATTTGGATAATAAATGCAGATATTGTAATTTTTCATACCATTAACGTTAAGTAAGAAATGAAATAGAATTGAAGTACGAATGTCTAAAGTAAAAATTCCTTTAAATACAATATGTATTAATTGTTGGAAATCAGAGTTAATAATTTTCTCTTCATAAAAAATCTGCTATAATAGCTAATACACCTCTATTTGTGCATAATTAAATGCTGAATCATGACAGTGAAAGAATATTTAAAAATGCTTAAAGAAATCTTGTTAAAGTGTACTCAAAAAGCTTCTAGAACAGATAAACTTGTACTTACTATTTTAAAATCTATTTTTATTTTTATCAGACTTCGTTGCTTTTATCACCCTTTTATTATCCAATAAACAGTACATATCCCTATTTCATTAATAGATCTACTTTGTCTGATTACGGTTCGGAAAGGTTCGCTCTTCGAGAAATTGGTCTTGTCTCACGTTCAAAGCGATAACAAGATAAAAGCATATATGGCTTTGCCCTTATTTTATAACTTAGCTGAGTGCCCCTTAGTTCTCCATTCTTTCTGCTGGTTTATTTTTATCATTTTTTTTTCCTTTTCAAAACGTATGCGCGAATTTCTTATTGCTTTTTACTGAAAAAAAAATTAAGAAAAATTAATAGATATTATGGTGCAAGTGCTGATTATTTTATAATTAATACATTATTAACGTTACAAAACAATTATTGTTGTAATTAATATTCTTTACTAAAATTAGTTCTAAATACGAAGTTATAAGTTTTTCTTCGTTGTGTTATCTTTTAAAATTATAGTTTATTAAAAAAAAAATACATGTTTCTTGTAAGTGAACTGTGGTACAATAAATAAAATATAAACGTTACTTACAAATTACACAAATTAATCTGAAAATTTTTCATATTAAATTGAAAATACGAATACGAGTTTAACAATTATGATCTTCATATATTAAAACGTGAATTTAGATAGACCTTAAACACAAAAGGAAAACCTATAGAATTAAAATCAAAATGTCTCGATACTTTTAACGAGGCAATACATTAATTATGAATATTGCTGGATTCACTTCTATTTAATAGATAAACAATTTTATCACGAACAGAAAGGAAGCTCAAGTTAAAATTATTTTACATACAAGTACAGCATAACATTTTTACAAGTTTTATTTCTGATTTCAATTTAAACATTCCTCGTGTCTACGTATTACATTAGTTTATACAACAAGGTTTTATTATATGATAAATTTATAAGAAAAAAATATGCCTTGTTATAATTTATACAATCGTAATATGTATTAAACGATTTATATAATCCCTATTTTTAGATGATTTTAAAAGAATTTTAATCATCTTATTTTTATGGTACCTTGGTAATTTGTCAATTTTTTTTTTCGTACAAAATTAATATCATTAAAATAACAAAAGCGCTGAACTTTCGCCTCTACGAAATTAAATTTTATCAAGAAATCGACAATTTTATGATTAAATGACTATATAATAATGACATTACATTAATAGGGTAATAAAATTAGAAAATAAGAAATCGTTATCGCTCTGTTTTATATGATTATCGTCTGTCTTGAGAAAAGGAATCGATTCCTTTGCCTTTAATATCAAGAGAGGAATGTAAGTATGGTGGACGTCAATAGAGCAAAAGATACACAGAGAGAGAGAGAGAGAGAGAGAGAGAGAGAGAGAGAGAGTGAACAATTGACAACAATTGTTTCATCGAAATGCAACTTTATTTTTGCTAAGCGAAAACACGTTAAGTGATCGTAATAAACGCGCACCAGGGTGCGAGTGTCCAGGGAGTCAGAAATTCTTTCAACAAGTTTCCACTACAGATTGTTTAGTAAAATATTTAGCCTTTCTCTTTTGATAATATGATGAGAGAAAGGGATGATTAGAAAACGGTGATTAACTACCTTTTTAAAAAAATTGTGAGACAACTTATTTGTTTGGAAGAATTTTGTTGCTGTTGCGCGTGTCGTATCAACCTGGAATTAGCTACTTATTATTTTTACTAAAGCTTCAACATAATTATAAGAACTTTTGTTTATATGTAAATCGCGCTTAAAATATTTGTTTTCTAATTTCAGGTGCTAATGTTCGTTATGGTTGAAAGGCGCCGATCACGCGCCACAATTTCTTAATTAACGAAAATAAAAATTTTAACAAATTTAAAAGAAAAATGTTTTTATATTATATTAAAGTTGATAATATTTATTATGAAAGTTAATGAAAGCTAAAAAGACCTATCCTATTATCACAAGAGATTTTTATTTCGTTAATAAATGTGAGATGTGCTTTATAAGCACACAATAAAACGAAGTAATTTGTTCTTTTTTTGCAGGCAAAAATGTTGTCGTTAAAAATTACGAAACTATAAAGTAATAATATAGAAAATTGCAGATGCACGTGACGATGTAATTTCCGAAAAATTAATTAATTGTCATTGAAACGTATTTTTAAGGGGTTTAAATTTCTGAAGTGTAGGAGCAAATCTTATACAATTACCAGAAAGCTATACCTTTTTATTACACGTTTTTCCATTTACAAACGAAGACAATATTAAGATTATGCATTTGTTTTGTTTTTTTGTTTTTTTATTTATCCAAATTGATTATTAAGTCAATGGTAAAGCTCCAAGCTTCTCAAACCCATTAAATGAACAAGAATTAATTAAGAGTTATCTGTTTCATACATAAACTAATCGTGTAATTTTTTCACTCTTATAAATTTAAGAGAAAAACTAAAAAAAACAAAAACAAACAAACAAACAAACAAACAAACAAAACAAAAACAAGCAAAAACAAACAAACAAACAAACAAAACAAAACAAAAAACAAAAATAAAATACGCGAGTGGAATAACACATGTTTCTTTAGGGAATATCGAAGCCACTTCACGAAACTCCCTTGTAAGACAATTATAATTAATTGTCACTTAATTCATTATGCCGCGCGTAATCAGTTAGACTTTTCATATTGGGCGGAAATTTGCATGGGCTGATACAAGTTTAAGTCAATATTATGCATAATGTCTCGCAAGTATACGACATGGAGGTCGATAATGGAAGAGAGGACCGTCGATCGGTAAGAGACACCAGCAGTAATAGATGGAGGCCAGGGCCAAATAGCTAGTGGTGCTCTCTAGCACATAATGCCTCTGTTACGTGGATTATTTGAAATTCTCGCCAACGGTTCGCGGCTATGTTCATTGGCCATGGGGCGCTGAATAAAAGAAAGAAAAAATGGGACGCGCCAGTCGTGTAAATGTTTCGCGTTACGTGCATTGTAGCGTTTAATGCATGGCGCATGCGTAGTGGTAGTAAAGCGTTTATTCATTTGTCTCTATGTAACCAAAAAAGTATTTAAACAGAGAAAAGATAAGTGAAGAAGTGTAAAGTAAAGTTAAGTAGCCGTTGACTCGAACAAAATGATAAAAACTTATGCCATGAATTTAATGTGAGCGCCAAACGGAATTTGAAAAAATTCTTCGCATACTCAGCTACTTCGCGTATACGTATTCGCGAAGCTTAGAAGCTTGGCACAATTTATAGTGAGTATAGATGCACATGAACACGCACTTGTGCATTTTATTAAATATTGTGTTTATAACTTAAAAATTTCCCCCACTTGTGAAAATGCGTTTGCGTAATTTGCAAGGAGGCCACTGAAAGCCTTGTGCTTACGTGAAAGTAGTCATCATTGGAATATATTGAAGAAAATTGATTCATTCTTTAATGTAATTTTTTGCCTATTAATAAGAATAAGCTGATTTTTTTTTCATTTCTCTTAATTATTTCATAGGCTATTACACATGCCTTTATTAATTTTTATAGAATATGCATGAAGTTTAATATATATATATATATATATATATATATATGGATGTGTGTGTACACGCAAAGGGCGCGCGCGCGCGCGCGCGTGTGTGTATGCTTATACTGATGCATGTGCATATTGTCAATTTATTTAATTAAACATATTTTATTGTGTGCTGTACGAGTATCGATACTTTTCAACTTATAGTTTCAGATATGGCTGAGACAATTAAATACTATGGTAAACGTAGAAGTATCATTCGACGTATTGGATCACTGTTACCATTAAAGCCTCCACCAAAGGTTTATATTAGCGTAACACCATTGCACTCCATGAGTAGTTCTATGATAGACGATGATAGAAGTAACGATTTCTCCGATCTTAATGGTCTGGGAATAGGAAGGTATTTCGTTCTTATATTACATAAGTCATAGAATATTCATTTTGAATAGCATAATTGTATCGGATCTATTTCATTTAACTTATTTCGATTTAGTTTACATATTAAACGAAAATATATTTGTATTCAGTGAAATTTCTTATAACTCTATTACATAAGAATTTATAAATGATAATGTAGGTCGCTATCCATGTATTTTGAATATATACATAAACAACTGGCTTTGTAAAAAGTAAATCCAACTCATCTTAAGATTCAATGTCAAAAAAGGTTAAAAAAAAAAAAAAAAAAAAAATTAATTTCTTAAAAAAATGTTTAATTTTAATATTTTCAGCAATGGATTGTCTCAAAATAAACCAGATCTATTAGAACCTGTGACGTTTGGCTCGGAAATTCGTTTACTTGCATTGGAACAAGAATTGCAAGACTTAAGAGAGCAAATATCAAAAATAGTTAATCCAGAAAAACAAAATACTCCTCGTAAGATTACATTCATATTATAAAGATGTAGATATTACGAGATCAAGCAGTGCATTTATGTGTATTATAAAATATTTTTTAAGCTTGTTTATCTAAGGGGAATGAATTTGTTCAACCGCCGCCACCGCCACCTCCACTGCCACCACCAACAACGCCACACATTGCACGAAGAGCCAGTTTGCAAGAACACATGACAGAGGAACGTAAAAAGCCCCCCTTAAGTATCCAAAGATCAATGGGAGATATGTTAAAAGATATCGATAAGGTCAAATTAAAGCCAGTTGCAAGGTATAGAAATTAAAAAATTGCTTTACATTAAAAAAATGTAACTGCCATTAAAATTAATATTGAGTAATTGGCGTTACTTTATCAAATTCAGCATCAATATCATTATTGATACGAACGAATAAACCAAAAAATTAAAAAATAAAAAAAAAAGATTCACTTAGTGGATTGATTAAAAATTTGAAATAAATTTTTCAGATCACCAGGAGGGCATCCAGTGCGAACGAAACGAGAAAACAGTCCTTGCAATGATCTACAAGAAATTTTAAGAAGACGCTATTTAGCCATGCAATCGCCTGAAAGTAAAAATTCTTCGGTAAACTTAACGCTAGATGAAAGTTTTTGAAATTATATTGAAAAGCATCGAATGGTAAATAAAATTAATTAATTTACCAGATGTCTTATTAGAAGAAGGTTAATTTACAAACAGTGGAATGTTTACGCTATACCAACTCATTCCATTTTCTATTAGCAATTTACTTCGATAATTGCAAGGAACAGCTTTCCAATTAGGAAGTAACTATCTCAAAATCTCAAAATTGACTCGGACAGATGTCTGATAAATTTACTTAAAATAATGTATAAATGTATGCAAATACGTATATATAGTGATAGTATAAAGTAATATAGATGCCATGTAAAACAAAATTATTTTTCTTAAAATTATTACTGCGATCGTTATTAAGCACCACAAATTTCAATGACGAATTTGAGACTACGACAATTATCAATTGAAATATCGTATCTAATAGAGTATACACAGAATATGAAACTAATTAAATAAATATATATATATATATGTCCATTTTCCAAACCCTGTGATAAATAATGAAAATGTTATAAAGAGCATAACGAGACAAGTAATTCACATACTCTTTCAGTGATAATTAATTAATTATTGATAAAGAATGCATCTTATTTATAGATATACGACTTATATATCACATGTTGCGTGTTGTATTTGTATACGACACTAGACTCGTACGTCAAATCATAATCGACGCTCGCTAATGAATAAAAATTTATATATTTTACTAATGCCATGTGATAAAGATTGTTATATTATTATTATTATTATTTTTTTATTTTTTTTTTTTTTTTTTGACAAGGATCGATCTCTTAAGTAATGGTGCAAATGTATTTACTCGACATTGACTTGTTGTTGAACTTACAATAGTTATTGGAGACTGATCGTGAAATATATAATCTGCCATGTAACAAATGTACAGGAAGTTTTATACTTAAAACTTTTATTAAAATAAAATATGTAAAGCGAATAAACGTTACTGTTATAGAAACACCTTGTAAAAGCTATAAGAAAGAAATATAAAAGAATTGTACAGGATTAATTTTTTCTTTTCTTCTCTGTCTCTCTCTCTCTCTCTCTTTCAATATTATCAATTTGCTTTTATTATTTAAATTCGGGCAGTGGTGTAAAATGCACAAAGCCTACTCACATTAATCTCCTAATTAATTGTTTTTTGTTTAATTTTCCATTTCTCAAAGGTCTACCTAACTTTCCTACTTTCCCGCGCGTGCAAAAAACGCCAAGTAGCAAATGCTTCCGAGTAACCATCCCAGCATGAAATATACAAAAACAAGATCCCCGCATTTATTACAGCGAGATATGAAATTACACGTATTGGAAAATCGGGTCAAGGTGAGCCTCTTTCTTTTATTTCAATTGTGAATAATTCGCGTTTGCTCTCCTCGCACAAACACTAAGACTCGACTGTTTGCAAATAATCGTGTGCAATGTGCGTGCACGCATCATTTGGCCAGCTCACGATTCGTATTTCCCTGCATTCGTTGTCCCCGATCTATTGTCATCAAGACGGGATTCCGCGATAGTTTCGACTTCTCGATCCTAATTCAAGAAGAAAGAGATCGTAGAGAAGTTAATAGAGTTAAGAAACGATAACAGTGGCTTTGTAGGGCACTGTCGCAGCCCTTACGACTATGAATGTAAATATACGTTTGCGAAGAAAGCACATGGCCGCGCCGCTACATAAAAACGTAAAGTGTACCAATAAGCATTATGAGCTAAAGCAGAAGAAGAAGAATAAGATGATGATGATAACGATGATGATGACGATGACGACGACGACGACGACGACGACGACGACGACGACGACGACGACGACGATGATGAAAAAATCAGTCAATGGCCTTTAAAACGCATGACGATACTCTACAACATCGCACCTCGAGCTCCCCTCGCCACCACCGCCCGCCGCCTTCCACCAACTCTAATTCGTGGTATAAGCAGCGCCGAATTACTTGTTAGGTTATGTGTTGTATTCTCCGTTCTTGTCTTCTATCCAGCAGACCTAACCGTATTAAAACTGTTTCCAAGTCGGGCGGTGCAGCAAATCGAGGCTGTTTATAAAAGAAAAAACAAACAAACAAATAAATAAATAAATAAAGTAAGAGAGTTCGGGAGAAGCGAAGGCGCGGCTCATATTAACCGGTGCGAGTAATCAAAGGGTCGAGCGCGAACTAGCGCACTTATGTATATTTAATTGTATCTGGGTCATTAACCCAAGAGTAGTAGCGTTTAATGCAACGAGTCGCACAATTGTAAATACGATATCGCGTTGGATAAATTGGATAAATTCGAATAAAGCCATTCAATTTTAAAGCGACGCCTCGCGCGCTCGCGAGACACCAACACTGCATTCCGTGGACCGATTCATGACATCGGGGTATGCACGTTGCTACTTACGCTCGCTAACCCCGCATACGCTATACCCTGGATAATCCACATTTTTCAAATGGAGCTGACAGTGTGGGAGAAGGTGACAGAATCGTCGTTTATCTTGTATTTTACTAGCCGCTTTGGTTTGTACGACGAGCCGCGAAGTGAGGTGTCGGGTGAGGTGTTATGGGGTGTTGGTGCGAAGGGGGCTAGGGGGAGGGAGGGAGGTATAGAAGCATTCCCATCACGACGTACGACAGCCTGTCTGTGTGTACATATTCTTTATCGCGCTGAGGTACGCGTATGTAGGTGCGTACGTGTATTATTGACCGAGCCCCCGCTGCTCGCGGGTAGTTTGCGTTCTTTCTTCGCGTTCGCGCACCTATGCATATATGTTAGTGTGTATACACACACACACACACACACATATATATATAGTTTTTTTCCAATAATCCGAGTGTTGTGTTTACGTAGAGAGCTACGCTACAAACTCGAATTGTATACACAATCATGTGGCCGGATAAATTACGTATACATTGGCGAATAACGTGCTCGGCTTGGGCGCTCGAACGCCTGTGACCTAGTAAATTTCATTTTTATAATCTAAAATTTATGTTGTTATATTGTTTGGAAAAACGCGGTTATCATCGGGTAGAAGATAGAAGATTGAACGGGAAAGGATCATCATAAAATAACGAGAACGCATGGTCATAAAAATCAAGAGCTCGAATCTTTTCTTTTTCTTCTTTTTCCGAGTTTTAATATTAGATTTAAATGTAAACTCCCTTGTTCGCATGTTTCAGTTCAACAAATGAAAAAACATCGATATTATGATGGCTTTACCGAAACTTCCACTCGATATTGTTGTTCCCCCGGCAGTTCTATGTCGGCGTGGTGGTGTCAGCCTAACAGGAATTATTATTCGAACGTTTCTTCAAGTGAGTTTAGTGAGTTTGTTAAATTTAAATTTCATTTTTAACACATAAGTTATACCATAAGTTAAACACCGACATTTCACGTTTCGCGAGAAACAGAGAGAGAGAGAGAGAGAGACATTTGAGAATCTATTGTCATTATGAAAAAGTATATTTTGCATTTAGTTCGAAGGAAATATTTTTATATGATAAAACAACAGAAAATAATGCAGAAGTAAGCATAAAAGTCATATAAGATTATTCATAATTTCGAATAAAATTTTGCAATATTAAATTACTCGTTTTCTAACATGAAATGTCTTTGTGCAACTCGGTAAGAAAATTACAATGTCAAGCAATTCTTTCCACATAAATTTTCTTCATATACGTTTTAGATATTTTGGAATTAACCAAACATTTGGCATTGCTGTATCTAGTGCTATTTTCATATCAAAAATACATTCAATTATTTTCAGGATTGCATTTTATGTTTGTAAGATATCTATTTTACACAATGGATTCTTTCGCATTACGTTTCTTATTGATTAAACGATAAAAACTGACGGTCTGCAATTATAGATTATCGAAATTCAATGAATGAATAATAATAATAATAATAATAATAATAATAAGATTTGTTTGAAATGTATTGAATTTGATGATTTCAAATGTAAAAGTAGCTGCCAAAAGTGACGCCTTATAAGCGAATCTATGATGCGTTTCCCATAATATTTTGCAAAAGTACGCTTACAATATACATTCACCAACTAGTTTCTTAATTGTAAATTATGAGTAATTTTTTTTTTGTTTTTTTTTTTTTTGATTTTTTTTCTTCCTTTTTTTTTTTAATGATAAGAAATAATGATATAACATGTGTGAAAAAGAAAGTCGATAAATGAATTGAAAATCATTCGCAGTGAATAATAATGAGATTTGCAAAATGATTTATTTCATTTAGATTAAATTTCAACATTCTCAATACATTAAAAATACAACTACTACTTATCTTATCCGTATCTACCCTTTGCATTATCATAACGGACAACCAGTAAATAAAATTCGAAACTTTGCTCTTTATACTGTTTTTTTTTTAGTTTTTTTTGTTTTGTTTTTAATGTAAATCTATTACGCGCGACCCTGTTCGTAATTGAATGCCAGTATATGAAAAAAATGTTGACAACATAATTTTTACGAAATGCCGTTCACGAAAAATTGATTCCCATTGAAGGAAAGTGCCTTATCGAATTGTAGTACGCACATTTATACTTAGATGTCGCGTAACGGCAACTGGAGAATTCTGCTTCATCGACGATTGAGTAAAAAGGTGTGCTCCATTTAACAAAAACTCGTAATCATTATCAAGTAGGTATTAAAGAAAAAAGTCGATTATTTTTTCACCATGATTATAGGAGCGAAAAGCATTAGGAATAATTGACTTGCGAATGATGCTCGATGCTTGATGTTGCACGTCTTGGAAAATCGTTTCCACTACAAAAATTTTTTATCGTCTTATGGCTTCGGAAAATTGAAAGAACATTTTATGTTAGACCAGTGATTTTTCTTTGTTTTTTTTTTTCTTTTATATTTTGTTTCTATTTTAATCGACTCGCCGAATGTTTGCTTATCACCATAAAGTTAAATGGAGCGCATTAGTTTATAAAATGGCAAGTTAAATATTACAATACTATTTCGAAATGATAAAGTGTTAAAATAATAGAAGAAAATCCACTCTGGCGAGCATGGAAAATATTGAGAAATGATTTAAAAATTACCAAACAGCGTCTAAGCGCAGACTAGAGTATAAAGTATCAAATTTCATCGAAGCTCATACGTGAAAGGAAAAAAAGTTTTTTTTTTTTTTTTTTTTTTTTTTTAAACATTTTTACATTTTTCATTTACATTTTCCTAGGTTACATAGTAATTTGTAATTTTTTACATACTAACAATGCATTCAATATTCAATGCGTGTCTTTAAAAATAAATTCATTGAAATTGTTGAAAAATTCAATAGTTCTTATTAAACTATTAAAATTTGCGTGCATATTACTTTGTGTAGTATGAAAATTTCATAAAGTCTTTTTAAAATTTGAATTTTTGTTTGCCATATCGTATAACCTCTTGAATTACACATGTGCATGCCAGGCATTCTATAATACATATCTTACTTTATTATTATTTTTTATCCCATTTTTTTTTTCTTTTATACACAACTCTTTCAATTCTTTCTTATTCAGTCAGTGTTGACGTAAAAGCATGCATAGCGTACTTTTAATATTCATCGTAATATTGTAAAAATATATGGAAATTTGATTATTCTCAACGCAGCGACACAGTCTTTGTTGAAATTGGAATTATATTAAAATATATTTAGAAATAATAATACTATCGTTGAATAGTTTCCGAATAAAAGATTTCATTTTATTCAATGAACGAGCCTTTTCAATATTACCCACTTAAAATATACAACATTTAGATTATATCAATCGATATTATTTTTGAACAACGCAAGATATAATTACTTAAGTGGATACTAACGAGCTTAAGTGGTTCTTGTCAATTATGTTTTCACATAATCTTAAAGATTATATAGACTAATTTCAAAATATATTTATCTTCTTCGCCTATAGAAAATTGAGAAATTTAATGCGCACATATCGTACAATATTTCTCTTTTCTCTCTCTCTCTCTCTCTCTCTATCAATCTCTCACTCTCTCATTAATATTTTGTTCGTCTGACCAGATCCTAAACCTTTTCTACTTATTTCCTTAAATTAAATATAAAATATTTTATGTATTTCTATCGTATTGTTAAAAAGTTTTCTTAATTAGAAAAATGTTTTCATTACATCAAATTACCAATTGTTAATTTATATATTTATAGTTGTATGGATCTTTTGATCTTTAGAATTATTTTATGATCAATAAATTGCACAAAGACATAAAATAAGCTACTGGTAACTATTTTATTCTCGTTTTCTTTTCTATTTTCAATATATCGTTACCGAATTAAATCTCGTTAAATGAAAATTAGATGCTTTAATATTCTTTATTGTTAAAACGGTGTATATTAGGCGAAAGCGATTCTGTACGAAAATAGATATGTTATTAAAAACTGCAGTGTAAAAATATCTAAATTATAGTGAAAAGTAAAATTAATATATTTTTAGTACAAATTCTCATAAGATTGTAGTATCTTATACGAACGTTTTTATTTATTTGTTACAATATTCATCACATTCTCACGTCCGAACATTTATACACGGAAAATACAATAATTTTTCATCCAAGGCGTAACTCTGATTTTAAAATACAAACATTATCAAAGGCAAATACTGCACATATTTCATTTGAAATCGACCCTTTTAATTTTCTTTTCTTACTCCTAACTTCTTCAAAACTTAATATCGAAGATAGCGCTTTTGCAACGAACAAAAACAAAAAAATATTGCAACGAAGAAAAAAAAAGTTGAAAATCTTTCAAAACGAGTTCTATTCATCCGGGAACGACACATCTGTCATACCTTTCATATTTGAAACTCTTCGCCACACTGCAGTATTTCAAATTTATAAGATAAAATGAGGAAAAGAATTAAATCGTTTAAATCTGAAAGAAGTTTACTCGACGAATTTAAATAATCTCACTCGTTACACTTTTATAATCATTAATATTCTCAATCTATTGATTTTTAATATTTTCAAGTTCTTTTATAATGAAAATGTGAATTTCGATAAATTAACCGACTAGTATCTTACACTCTATTTATGTATTCAAAATTTGTCTTGCTAACAAATTTTAGTTGCATCTATATATTTAGAAGAAATGCCAAAGATTTAATGAGCCTTTAAAATTATATTTATGCAGTCTGGCCACGTGATTTTGCACGATACTCGATAGTTGAAAGCGAATATAATAAAAATACTCTTTTACTCGTGTCTGTGACTTTCAACGACATTTAAAAAACAACTAGCTCTCTCTCTCTCTCTCTCTCTCTCTCTCTCTATATATATATATATATATATATATATATATATATATGTATATATGTATATATGTATAATTTTTTAAATATCCCTCGTATATACGTAAAAATATTTCAAAATAAATTATCTTAAAAATAACGGTCATTCATATTCTATCGACTAGAAAAAATGTGTTTGTATGAAATCAAATGTTTTGAAGGTCCATGCATTTTACTTCCAAGATATATCAATGACAGATTTTAAAAATAAATAACGCTTTACAGCTTTGGTAACGATTTTATTATTCATTTTCAAGCATCGATAATATTAAAAAGTATTTCAATTGCTTGAATACTACTATATAACATGTTTTATATAATATCACGATATTTTGTAGTAGTTTATCAAAAGTTACTTCCTTCAAGATAATAACTTTCAAAGTGCACATAAGATCTGTGTAACATAGATTTAGACGAGATTGCAAGGAAAAGTTTTTCATTCCAACTAATAAATTTCAAAACTATTATTCATTTTGCCGAGCGTGATTCTTCAAAAACAATTTTTATTTAAGGTGTTATGTAAGAATAAGAAATTTTTTAATTTGATAATTAAATAATCAATAACATTAGAAAATACATGGTTACCATAAAAGAAAAAGTTATTACGGCTGAATGTAAATCCGTCTTTATGAAATAGTGATGAAATTAACAATCAAATTTATTTATGATTATTAATTGAATATTTATTTGTAACTCTGAAGAGTTTTAATTTAAAAATTATATGATACTACAGTTGAAATTAAGGGATGTTATTTCAATTTTAATTTTCTGATTGGGTTAGTATACTTTTCACAATAAATAGCTGCCAAGTTATAATGTCTTTTCTCATTGTACCTTTTTTTTTCTTTTCTTTTCTTTTTTTTTTCTTCTTTTTTTTTTACATATTTTACTTAAAATGCTAGTTATCTCAGAAACTAGGGTCTATTAGGATGAGTTATGGCTGGTGGGATTCATTATTAGGTTCAACAGAACTACGCATACAGACTCCTCGAAATTCATCTTTCGTAAAGCTTC